CCGGGCCCAGATCCGGGGCCCACCTTGGCGCGAATGGGTAGGGAGGCGAGCGATAGTTGGGGGGAGAGGAGGAAGAGGATGATGATGATGATGATGATGATGAGGAGGAGGAGGAGGAGGCGGAGGAGGAGGAGGAAAAGGAGGAGGAGGAGGACGGGGAGGGGGAGGGGGAGGAAGATGAGGCGGAGGAGGAGGAGGAGGAGAGGGAGGAGGAGGAGGAGGAGGAGGAGGAGGAGGAGGAGGAGGAGATGGGAGGAGGGCGGGGCTCGTTTCGAATCGTCCGATTCGGTCCGATTCGGTTTCGATGGCTTCCGGATCCGGTTGTATTCGGTTCGGGATTCCGATTCGGGCTCCGATTTCTCGGTGGAGGCCTGCTAGCCTGCCCATTTCCGCCGATTCGACTGCTCCTGACTCGGCTGCCGATTTCCGCCGATCCGATTCATTTTGATCACCGATCCGGCTTCTCGATTCGATTCCGGGCTCTCTTGTAACTGGGGGAAGGCGCCCTTTTCGGTCCCCAGGTGTCCCGTATGAGGGGGGGAAGCGGCCCTTGTCGGGCCAAAGTCCGGGGTCCATCTTTCGGGGCTGCTCAACAAACGGGGGTCTATGCAAACGGGAGTCAGCCAGAGCGCCGGATCTTGCAGGATCCTGCATATCCAGGTGCGCACTGTCTTTTGCTTGGGTGCAGGATTCTGCAGGAGCGTGCAACGTCTGAGTGACCTGGGTCTGGATTGGCCCATGATCCTGACACCCTTGTTCGGGGCGGTTCCAGCCGTTGTGACGAGAATCCTCTTGGCGGCCAAGAATTACTAGCCGGCGAAAAACGCCCAGGTGGGGCCAGCGTCACCTCGACCCGGCCTCGTCTTCCAATCGACCCTGAGGGCCCTCCAGGGGCCCTAAAGGGTCGCCCCCTTTTATAGGGGGGCGACCCTTTTAGGGGCGTTGGAGGGCCCCTTTGTGCAGCACTTGCTGCCCTCCCGCCTATCGCGGCCCAAGCGGCGTCGCCGCATCATGTTTATACTAGATGTGCGTCGCCCCCCGGGGGCGATGCGCGCACCGAGAAATCTTATAATGTATACGTCGTGGCGGGTGCTTTCTGGCCACACCGCTCGGGAACCGATATATTATAAGATGGGTATATTATATGTTTGGGTCGGGCGCGCGCCTCCAAGGAAAACGCATCGTACTAGTAGTATGTCTTTGTGTGTCCCCACCCAAGACCGTCCAGGTTGCCGCCCCAGCGGCGTCGGCATCAGCATCAGCATCATCATCGTCGTCATCATCGTCATCATGGTCGTCATCCTCATCGTCGTCATCATCGTTGTCACCATCATTAGCATCAGCATCATCAGCATCATCATCATCATCAACATCATCACCGTCATCAACACCACCATCCGTACCATCGCTTTCGTCATCGTCGTAATCGCCATCATCATCCTCAGCTGTAGCATCGTGACCATCAGCATTCGCAGCATCAGCATCGCTTTCGCCATCGCCATCGCCACCGTCGCCGTCACCACCGTCATCCTCAACATTTTCACAATCATCATCACCATCATCACAATGGTCACCATCATCGTCATCATCACCATCGTCATAATCAACATCATCATCCGCATTATCACCATCATCAGCAGCACCACCATCGCCATTTGCATCATCATCATCATCACGATCATCATCAGCATCCTTTTCTTCGTCCTCCTCCTCCTCTTCCTTCTCCTCATCCTCCTCTTCCTCCTCATTGTTCCTTCTCGTCCTCCGTCCCTTCTTCGGGAGGAGGACCACGGAAGGATGGAGGCATGATTGCGGTAGGAGGAGGCGGAGTTGAACGGGGAAGAGCAGGGGGACGATGGAACAGGATAGCGCAGCCAAGGAGAAAAGAGGGAAAGGTGGGCCAAGGGAGGAGAGACGAGGCAGGAGTTTGGGTGTTGTGAGGAGGAGGAGCAGGATGAGGAGGAGGAGGAGGAGCAGGAACAGGAGCAGGAACAGGAGGAGGAGGAGGAGGAGGAGGAGGAGGAGGAGGAAGGGGAGGAAGGGGAGGAAGGGGAGGAGGAGGAGGAGGAGGAGGAGGAGGAGGAGGAGGAGGAGGAGGAGGAAGAGGAGGCGAAGGAGGAGGAGGCGGAGGAGGAGGAAAGTCCAGTGCCGGGAGGAGGAGGAGGAGGAGGAGGAAGAAGAAGAAGTTTCGATTTCAGCCGCCCGGCCCTGACCGAGAAGGTGGCGTACGCGCTCTACGCGGCGGTGATGTTTCTGGCGTTCGTGATCCTCAGCCTGTGCCCCCGCGGGCCGCTGCGTCGTGTCGTGGGCGGATTTCCAGCCGCGGGACTCGTCTCCGCAGCTGCGCCAGGCCGAGGGCTTTCTGGGGTCGCCTGGAGCGGCCCGAACGGCTTCCGCAAATCTGGTTTAGCTGAGACCCGAGTTACACGGATCGACCACAACGCTGTTTAGCTTGATTTTGGATTGTCTTGATGTTCGTTTCGTTGACCGCTTTTGTTCAGTTCAGTGTCTCATTTTTGTTGTCAACGCTTCGTGCCGCTGTTCGTTTCGTTTGGTCTGGGTTCGTTTTGAACGTTAGTTGCAAACGTTGGGCTTCGTTCCGTGTTTCGGTTCAAACGCCATTTCGTTTTCAACACCGTTGTGTCCGGCCCTTGCACTGTTATGAACCAATGTTTGGTTGGGTCCATGCCGATCCGATTTTGTCCGATTCGATTTCTTTTCCAGCTGGCCCGATCCGATTCGATGCCGACATTTCGGCGATCCCCTGCGGCCCGATCTGTTCGCATGATCGACTGATCCTGGATACCCCACGACCGCCGCGCCGTGGCTGTGCCGCGGGCGCAGGTGGTTCTCTTCAATCACGAGTGGTTTTCCTCCAAACTCTTGCCTTCGGGGGCCGTCTGTGGGTGTGGGCTCCAAGGGAATGGATCGGCGGCAAAATTCGAATCCTATCTAATGACCTTCGTCCCATCCTGCCACCGTGCCTGGGTTGTGGGTCTGAAATCTACTGGATGGTCGTTGGGATCTCGTGGCGGGGGCCCTCGGGGGCCTCTTGGAGGCAACGGTCCTGGGGTCGTGCCAGGTGGGCGGCGGAGCCAGCTCCAGGCCAGACATGCTCGGCAGGGGGGGCCCGAGAACCGAGGTCCCGGGACGCTGCTGGGGTCGGGCCAGGTGGGCGGCGGGGTCGATTCGAAGGGCCTGAAGGTGTCGGCTGGGGACTCCCCAGAAACACGGGCCCCAGGGCGGTGGGGGGGCCAGAAGTGGTCGGCCAGGGCGTCCCAGGAGCAAGAGCGGCAGGACGGTGCGGGGGTCTGGCCAGGCAGGCGGCAGGTCGGTTCCCGGGGAGAGAGTCGTCGGTTGGGGGGTCCCAAGAGCAGAGGTCCCAGGACGGCTCCAGGACGGTGCGGGGGGTCGGGCCACTTGGGCAGCGGGGTCGGGCCCGGGCCAGATTTTATCCGTTGGAAGGTGCCACAGCCAGATGTCCCAGGACGGGTCGGGGGTCGGGCCAGGTGGGCAGCGGGGCCGGTTCTGGGCCAGAGGGTTCCTTGAGTCTCCTGGGGGGGCCCTGACGCCTTGGGAAGGAGATCTTTTGGGAGCTGTTTCTGGGCGGCTTCTGCCAACGGCGCGTGGCCAAAGAACTCAGCAAGGCCTCGTTGGCGATCGCGGTGCACGATTCCAGCGGGGAGCTTGTCGGGGAAGTCCTTGGCCTTGTTTGGGCCCAGTGCCCTCGGGCTCCCCAAGTTGATTTGTGGGCTAGTTGTAGGTGTTGCAACATGTTCCAGTTCCCTTCGGCACTCTACAGTGATTGTTTGAATGGGGTGAGGCAGTCCGAGGTACCGCTTCTAGAGCAATTTTCCAGTAATAGGGTCTATAGCGAGACCCTCCTCGAACTCAACGCTAGGGAAGGTTCCCACATGGTAGATATCGTCAAAGTTGCTGCACAAAGTCTTGGACGAAGCAAGCATCAGTGAGCAGGAGAGGCTTTCCAGCAAATGCAGCAGCGATGCAGATGTAGCCGAGGCGGCGCTGAGTCTGCACCCTGTCGACAGAGCTGGTATGGCCTATGTTGGCCGACGCATTACCATTGCCAGAACAGTCTGCAAGCTGGCCTCCAAGTATCCGTTGGACCTATCTGGTGCTAGGGTTCCCCTCCCCCGCCTAAGCCCACCTGCGAAAGATTGGCCACGCGTGGTTTCAGTGGCCGGGGATGTGGAGGTGCAGAATCTGCCTCAGAGGGTGCAGATCTTCCCAGGAGCCTAACCCCGGGAGTGGTCCTAGTCGCAGTGGGCTTGACGAATGTGTCCCGCCAGCTCTCGTGCACCGTGCGGTGATGGTCCCCGCGTCGTCATGTGCACAGGATACCGCTATCGCAGCTCGGGCCCACGATGGATGGCATGGCCAAGCAGAGCTCAGGAGAAGCTACGAGGAACGCCCAGCTTGCTTGGAGCAAGCTTTGCAAAGGTGTTCACCTCAACCCTTGGAAGAGAGACGTGGAAGTGGACATTCACGTTGTGGCGGAAATGTTATGTTCGGTCTTTGCCTGTCCTGGCAGCCAGGAACCCTTTCGCTCTGTAGGGGCCAGCAGCCCCGATTCAGCGTCAATCATTTCGGAGGGGGGGCCGCCGCTCTCCGTTTAGTCGCCGTTGTTATTCATTGTTTCGCCGATCGGCGCGGCTCCCTGGCCTCCCCTTCCCCCCCCCCTCCATAGACCAGATCTTGGCTGCTTTTGGCGACTGGTCAAGACCCATTCCACCCAATCTGCTGGCGCGACTGGTAGAAGCAGATCGACTAAGCACCGACTCAGACCCAGCCGCCCCCCCCCTCCCCGACCTTTCGGCCAAACGTCGAACACGCAAGTAAAACAACACCTACTCAGAGGGAGGCGTTGCCGGCCCGTGCGCCATCAATCTTTCTTGTCCGACGATTCGGACTCGTCGGCGGGTTGGCCCTGTTTCTTGGGGGGCCCGCTTGCGGCAAGTTGCGCTTCAGTGCCTCTACCATCGAGTCTCTGTGCGCCGTTCCTGGGCCAGCTCTCGCTGGTTTCCAGGCGCTGGGCGGCCTCTTCGGTGTTTGTTTCGTTGTCCAGCTCCGCTGGGCCAGGCGGGGCTTTCTTCCCGCCTGTTGACCCACGGCATCTCCTGCCGTGAAATGTGCGCGCAGTCGGACCGAGGTATAAGATCGAGGTTGGTTCAGGGAGGGTACCCGAGTGTCCTTCGTGTGTGTTGGATGTTCTTGTGCATCTTGGGGGGGTAACCTTGGATGCTCAGGTGACTCTCGTCGACAAGCGGGTCTCATGTTCTCGAAGGATGTTCGTTTGGCCCAGGCCTGACTGTACCGATGTGGCAGTGAGGGCGTTGAGCTCCAAGAAGAGCTCGGGAAACGAGCAGCCTCCGCGCTCGGCCTCGCCGCGCTTCCCTCGCGGCGCGGGCGCGGGGGCGGCCGGAGGGGGCGTCGGAGGACGCGCAATGGGGGGGGCGATGATACAGCGGGGGCCCATGCCAAGCAACACCCTGCTTGCAGCCAGGGTGCTCTGGGTTTCTTCGGCTTCGATTGTTCTGCCATGTGATCGTTTCTTATTCATTGTGTTGCCGATCGGCGCGTGCCCTCCCCCCCCCTGGAGTAGACCTTGGCTGTCTTTGGCGCCTGTTTCGAGCGGGTGGAGCCTCCACAGGACGCACCGTTCCAGACAGCCGCACTGAGCAGAGGTCTGGAGCCAGACCCCCCCCCGCGCCCCCCCTTCCGGCCAATGTCGAAGCGCCGAAAAAGAAAACGTTCACCATGGAGAGCGTGAACGTTCCCACGCCAAACATGGATGGACTGGCCTCCACTGTAATATGGGGGGCAGCGAGGGCTGCCGAAAGGGGGCCCTTTAGGGCCACTGAAGGGGCCCTCAAGGGCCCAGAAGGGGACGTCTAAGGCCCGAGAAGTGCACCTTTCTCCACCCCCTCCCCCAGTTGTTGCCCCTCGTTAATTCGCGCCCAAGGGCGGGGGAGGTACCACGCGGTCATCATCGGGTGCAACCTGACGACGAACGAGCACGTTCGAGATTACTACCTCCCGAGCGGGAGCGTTCCAGGGGTGCTTGGAAGGGGAGAGGAGGAGGGGGGGAGGAGGTGACGCGAGCAGGCAGGATGGCGGGAAGGAAGGGGGAACAAGGTCGAGGGAGGAGGGATGATAAAAGGGGGGGAGGCAAGGAGGGAGGATCGGGGAGGAGGGGCCAGGGAGGGAGGTTGCAGGAGGGGGAGGGCGAGAGGCGAGCGGGAGCGGGAGCGTCCACTATATACATATAACGGCGCACCGGGTCCGGGGGCCCGGGGCCGGGACCTCGACCACAAATGTGGGCCCCGGGGGGCCCGGAGGCTCGTCGGACCGCCGGACGCCGTCCAAGATCGTTCGCAGGCGGCTTCGGAACGCGCTCCGATGGCTCCAGATGCCTTCCAAGACGCCTGTCATGACACCAAGAAGGTCCCAGAAGCCTCCAAGACGCTCCGAGAGGCAGCCCAAGAGAGGCCCAAGAAGCAAAAATCGTGCCATTCCTATGGGAAAACGTATATTTTTCGCATGTTCGCCTCTTGGGCTTTCACCGCGTCCAAGACGGCCCAAGAGGCGCCCAAGACGGTCTACGAGGCCTCCGGGAGCGCTCCAAGGCTGCGCACGAGTGGCCCAGGACGGCCCCAAGACGGCCGAAGAGAGCCCCAAGACGAGTTCGAGAGGGGTCCCAGACGGAGAAAGCCAACCTCGAATTCCGAGCTTCCGGCCCAAGAGGCTCCAGGAGGCGCCAAAATGCCGCCAAGAGGCGCCAAAAGGCTCCCCAAAGCACCCCAAGACGTTCCGAGAGGCACCCCAAGAGAGGTCCAAGAAACAAAAATCGTGCCATTCCTATGGGAAAACGTATATTGCGAAGGCCTTACGGCCGTTGCCGCCGACCCTGAAGATGACGAAAGACAACACGAGGGGGGGGGCAGGAGGAGGAGGAGGAGGAGGAGGAGGAGGCGGAAGGGAGTAGGAGGAGGAAGGGTGAAGGGGGAGGAGGAGGAGGCCTTATGGATGTTGGTTGGGATCTCGTGGTTGACCTCTCGGGGGCGTCTGGAAGGCAACTTGAAGCCTCTTGGGGGCCGTTGTGGGGCCTCTTGGGGCCTCTTTTGGGCCTCTTGGGGCTTCCGGAGGCCGTCTTCGGCGCATCTTGGGGGCGTCTTGGCGCCGCTCGGGGGCCTCTTGGGGCCTTTTGGGGGCCTCTTGGGGCTTCCCGGGGGCCTCTTAGGGCGGAAGTCTCGAATTCTCGGTTCCTCGTCCCCCTCTTGGCCGTTTCTTGGGCCCGTCTTGGGGCCCTATTGGGCCGTCTTGGGCGCCTCTTAGGCTGTCCTGGGGCCTTCTTGGGCCGTCTTGGGGCCCTCTTGTAGGCCTCTTGGGGCGCTCTTGGGGGCCTCTTGGGGGCCTCTTGGGCCGTCTTGGAGTGTCGGAAAGCCGAAAAGGCGAGAAGGCCAAAATCATTCAAAAACCGATGTAAAATTGACGATTTTGGCGCCTGGGGCCCTCTTGGGTGTGCTCTTGGGGCTCTCTTGGAGCGTCTTGAGGGCCTCTTGGGCCGTCTTCGGGCCGTCTTGGGCGTCTTGGGGCCATCGTTCGTCGAGTCGAGGCCCTCTTGTACCCTTTTGGGGGTGTCTTCTGTCGCTTTTGGCTCGTCTTGAAGCTTTTCTGAGCTCCGGGACCCCCCGGGGAGGATGCGTATTTGGGTGGCGACCCCCCCCGGCGACCTTCCCCGGCGACCCTCCACGCCCCCCCCCCCCCGGGCGGGGAGGGTAGGGAGGGGCTTCGCCACGATTCAACTACGACGTTGCTCAATGTCGCTTTGGCTCGCGCGCTCGAGGAGACGGGGAACGACGAAGACGACGAGGGACAACGGAGACGGAGACGACGAAAACACGACGGAGACGACGACGACGACGACGACGACGACGACGACGACGACGGTGATCCACGCAAGACGACGACACCGGGATGCGTCTTCCACACGCCGACAGGGTCGGCGGATTTTTCGCATGTTCGCATCTTGGGCTTTCACCGCGTCCAAGACGGCCCAAGAGGCCTCCAAGACGGCCTAGGAGGCCTCCGGGAGCGCTCCAAGGCTGCGCACGAGTGGCTCAGGACGGCCCCAAGACGGCCCAAGAGAACCCCAAGACGACTTCGAGAGGGGTCCCAAAGGAGAAAGCCACTCTCGAATTCCGAGCTTCCGGCCCAACATATCCCAGGAGGCGCCAAAACGCCGCCAGAGGCGCCAAAAGGCTTCCAAAACCAGCCCAAGACGTTCCGAGAGGCACCCCAAGAGAGATCCAAGAAACAATAATCGTGCCATTCCTATGGGAAAACGTATATTTTTCGCATGTTCGCATCTCGGGCTTTCACCGCGTCCAAGACGGCCCAAGAGGCCTCCAAGACCGCCCCAAGACGGCCCAAGAAGCTTCCAAGAGGGCCCCAGGACAGCCCAAGAGGGCCCCAAGACGGCCCAAGAGGCGCCCAAGATGGCCCAAGAGGGCCCCAAGACGGGCCCAAGAGGGGGCCCAGAGGGGGACCACGAACCGCAAGCTCGAGCCTTCCGCCCCAAGAGGCCGCCAGGAGGCCCCAAGGAGGCCCCTCAAGAGGCCCCAGGAGACCCCCAAGAGGCCCAAAGGAGGCCCCGAGAAGCCCCAAATCGGCTTCTAAAATGCTTCGAAGCTGCTTCCACGAGGCCCCCGACAGGTTCAGAGGCTCCCGAGAAGCTACGTCAATCTCCCAGCGAGCGGCCGGACGAGGCCCCCCACAAAATCACAAGAGTGTTCCAGCGTTTGTATCCTTCAGCGCTCTCTGGCCTTCTTCCCCCTGCCCCCTTCCCTGCGACTTTCGTTGACTCAAGCTCGCCTCCTAGCTAGAACCTAAGCGCGCGCGAAGCGCGCGCGTGGTTCTAGTATATATATATATATATGTATGTGTGTGCATATATGCACATACATGTGTATGTGTGATGATGTGTTTGGACTTCCCGTGCCGTAGCGAAGAGGGGTATCACAGAGGGAGAGTAGCGGTTCTGCCGACCTCCGCCAGGAACCCGTTCCAGAGGTCGTGCGCCGACAACTACAGGCACCGACGTTGGGAGTGCGTCGCGGAAAGCAGAAAGCATGGTAACGGCGGAGGACGGGAGGAGGAGTTGCATTTGATGGTTAGACGTGGCGCTTCAGCTGCAGCTTCAGAGTCGCCGCTGAGCGCAGTGCGCGGGCAGGGTGATCGGACAGCGGGCCCCCGAGGACGTGTGGCGAACGCAGAGCCGCGGTGCACAGGGTGCCCGCTGCCGAGGTCGCGTGTCTCGCTCGTCCCGCTGCCGGTGCCCTTGGGCAGTCCAGCCGAGAGGGGTGCGCGCTCGCTCTTCCCTCGTGCACGCGGCTCACTTCCGCCTCATCCTCCTCTTCCTCCTCCTCGTCCTCCTCCTTCTCCTCCGTCTCCTCCTCCCCCTCCCCCTCCTCCACCTCCCTCCCCTCCTCCTCCACCTCCCTCCTCCTCCTCCTCCTCCTCCTCCTCCTCCTCCTCCTCCTCCTCCTCGGGCCCCGGGGGAATCCGTGCAGCGTCGACGCCCAGTCGCCCACCGATCGCCGACGGGGGGGTCCGAGAGCCTGCCCCGCCCAGGGCATGCGGATTCTCCCTCTCTCGGGCGCCCATCGCGGATGCGTCGGCGATGCAGCGCCGATTGCAGGCTCGATGCTTCTCCACCCCCGGGGGGGCCTGTCCTGGTGAGCGAGAAGAGGATCCGTATCCGGGCCCTCGCGAGCCGGGCCCTGGGCCGCGACTCCGTCGATTCGGGGAGGCGTTATTCCAGTGTTCTTCGTGTCTGTTGGATGTTTTTGTGGATTCTGATGAGGGTGTCCTTGGATGCTTTGGTTGTTTTCGCCGGCAAATGGTCTCATGTTCTTGAAGGATGGTCGTCTGGCATACGTCCGACTATATGGGGCGTTTTTTCGTGGACGCCCGTTTCTCCCTTCGCCCTTCGTCCTCGCTTCCCTTAGGATTCCATCCGGAGATATCTGAAAATCACCGTCGGCTTGCCAACTTTTTGCCCCATCTGATCGGGGTCCCCCCTACTCGTCGTTGCCCCTGCATCCCTCCCCCCTCCTCCGCCTCTTCCTCCTCTTCCTCCTCCACCACCTTTCCTCCTCTTTTCCTCCTCCTCCTCCTCCTCCTCCTCCTCCTCCTCCTCCTCCTCCCTCTTTCCTCCTTCTGCCCCCTGCATCGCGGTTGCAGCCGTTTCCGGCTTTCGCTCTTCGGCGCGCCGGCCGGCCGCCCATTCCGTCACCGCGGCTTCGCGGCCCGCGCCCAGGACCCTCCGCCGGCTCCACGGTGTGCGCCCGAAATGGGTATGGAGAGAAAGGGGACGAAGACCAGCAGCATCTCTTGTCTCCATTCTGTACAGGGTTTGCCGTCTGTGTCGCCGCGGGCGTTGCCCATTTGAGGCACGAGCTCGCCTGCCCAACAGCAGCCGCTGTCGGTGTCGGACATCATTGTTTCGGACGAAGTTCCCGGAAGGTCTAATTCTGACCTTGCCCTGGTCCGACAACCGGCCTAATTCCATTTAGTCCCGCTCAATGGTTTAATCTGACTTCACCCCGCTGAATCCGCGGCCCAGTATGGCGCAAGAGCCCCCCAGTGGTGCCCAATCCTCCTGAATCCTTCCGGCGAAGACCTCCCAGCAGTTGCCTCCTGAGCGAGCTCGCCTGCCCCGCGGCGGCCGCTGCCGGTCTTGGGCAGCAGACTGCCGTTGGGCAGCATCCCCGCTGTTGCTGCGGGCGGGGCAAGGGGGGGAGGGGAGACTCGGGCTCGACGGCGCCGGCCGAAGGCGAGAGGCCCCGGCTGGCCTTCGAAGAGGGCGAGTTGGCTTCTTTTGAGAGTCAAGCATCGGCGTCACCCCCAGCACACCAAATACTATGTTTAAGTCGGGCCTGTCCCCCTACAGGCCGATTTTGGACGGTAATTCTTACACAGTAATGCCCCAGAAAAGTCAAAGATAAGCCCCATCCTATTTTGTGATTCAGTTTTGGATATTCCTCCTGTAGAGGGACACGCCCGACTTCATACTATGTGTGCGTCGCCCCCCCAGGGGCGACGCGCGCACTGAGAAATCTTAAAGCACACGCGTCGTGGGGGGCGCTTTCTGGCCACACCGCTCAGGAAACGATGTACTACAAGATGGGCATACTAAATCTTCGGGTCGGACGCGCGCCTCGAGGGAGGACATATAGTACTAGTATGCCTCTGCGCGTCCCAAAGCAGTTTAGCTTTACGCAGATGGGGGGGTAGGGGGAGAAGGCCTCTTAGAATTTAGAAGCACCCTGCATCTTAGACGGCGCGGGCCTTGGCTGTAAATGTAGGGCCAGCGCCTTCCTAAGAAGCAGCCTCTTTCTAAGAAGCCTTCCCCCATACCCCTTTGTGCGCGCCGTCAGGCAGTGGCGAAGCGTCTTGGCTTACCTGCAGGCACACCAAAGCATGTTCTAGGGACCTTTTGTGGTTTGCGCGAGATGTTATCAAAACCTGACTGGCCGATGCTGCCTTGTGTTAGTACATCGGTTTGCTGTTCTAAGAATCTTGGTTTGGTTGTAGGAGCATTATTTGTTCTGTGAGCATGTCGTGGCAGGCCGAAGGGATGCCGAGACGGTCGGCCCCTTCTCAAGAGAGGCCTCCTGAGCATTACCAGGAGGCCTCTCAAAGGGCGGGGGGGCCCTCGTCTTCGTAGGAGGCTTCCGCCACAGATGGGCCCCAGGCCGGCCCTCTCCCTTGTACGACGGTCCCGCCCCGGGGCGCTCTCCGGGCCGCCCTCCGAGGCCTCGAGACGGCTCAAAAATATCGTTCTTTAAGAGTCCAAGACTGCCTGCGAGCACCCGGGAGGCTCCCAAGACGCTCCCAGCCTGCTCCCAGAAGGCCACAGGGCGGCCGCACGCGACATCCCGACGGCCCACGAGATGCCCCGAGAGCCCGAGGACGCTCCTCAAGACAGCCTCGCGAGGCGAAATATCGTCACATTTTTTGCAGGGGGAACGTGCAGGTTCACCACATTCATTTCTTCAGTCTTCACAGCTTCGAGCAGAGCCCAAGAGACTCCCAAAGTCGCCCCCGGACGGCCCAAGAGAGCCCTAAGGAGGTCCCGAGACGGCCGAAGATGGCCCCAAGACGGCCCAAGAGGCCCCCTAGACAGCCCAGGAGGGCCCCCAGGAGAGCCCCAAGAAAGGCCGACGACGGGGAACCCGAGCTGAGATTTCGAGCCATCCGCCCCAATATGACCACCGAGGCCGCCGAGAGGCCTCCCAGAGGCCCCTAGGAGGCCCAAAAGAGGCCCCAAGAAGGCTCCCAAGGGGCTCCTTTTCAAAATGTGGCTCTCGCCTAAGCGCCGCGCGTACTCTTTCTAAACATTTGCAAGAGTTTCACGGATTGAGGGCGTTCGGTTTCAATCTGTGGCCCTCGTATTAGCGCCGCGCACATTCGGTTTTAACATGTGCATGACCTTCACGAATTGAGGGCGGTTCCTGGTCATTTTAAGAATTCGCAAGAACCTCGCAGACTGAGGGCGGTCGTTTTCAAAATACGGCTCTCGCCATAGCTCCGCGCGCATTCGTTCTTTTTTGTAAGTTAGACCTTCACGGATTGAGGGCGGCTCCTTTTCAGAATGTGGTTCTCGCCTTAGTGCCGCGCACATTCGTGTTTCAATAGCTGTAAGAGCTTCACGGATCCCCATTATCAGCGTATCAGGAATAGTGTTTTGGATAGGTTCAGGATTATGCGGGTGCAACAGTTTTGTTGATTCCGTGGTGTGGAAGACCCAACAGTGACGCACTGGCACGAGTCCATATCATCAGGACGCAGCAGTCAGGATGACCCGCGGCGTGGACATCCCGAGAACAATGTGTTGGCATGCTTCAAGGTCTTCAAATGGCTGTCTTCCAACGAGGCAGTTCCCTCAATGGACATGAACCGTTGTAGGGGCCTATGAAGAGGGAGCTTGGAGGGAGGGTGAACGCCAACATCGTTGATGACTCTTGGGTTTACACTGGTCCTCCTCCTCCCCCTCCTCCTCCTTCTTCCCCCTCTCCTCCCCATGGCCACTCCCCCCAGAGTATCTCAGGTTCCACCGCCGGCTGCTGCGCAGGGGGCTTCGCCCTGCGGGAGCAGGTTTTGGATTCTTTCGGCCTCGTCGAGTCGGATCTACCCTGGGTCAAGGACCTAGGGGCCGCCTCCCTCCGAGCCTCGCGCAACGGCGTCGAGTCAGACTCGGAGGCCTCCGGCTTTGGCTGATTGTCGGTGACGTGTTGGCATCAGGCCCGTCCCAAACCTTCTCCTCCCCAGAATCCCGTTCGAGGGGGCGGTCGGCGAGCCCGTCAGCGCATTTCGCGGGCTCTTGGAGCCGTGGCCTCCAGGGTGCGCACGATTCCTTTCTGAGATGGCTTCAACAAAGGGGCTCCATCACGCCGAAGAGGTCTCAAGAGCACCCAAGATGGCCTCCAGACGGGAGGCAAACATTACTCTGGGTTCTCAGTATGCGTGGGGGGTACCCCCCCAACGGGGGTCAACCTCGCCTCTTCGTCGCGCCGCGACGGGGGTCGGAGCGCCTTCGGCGCGCGGTGGCTGCCCGCGACGGGGGTGACGCCCCGCCGACGCTTATGAAGAAACTCCGAGTATTTCATTCCGTGGTGTGCCGAATTTGCTTCGCGTTCTCGGTTCCTCGGGCCTCTGCGGGCCCTGTGCGGCCCGTGAGGCCCCCCGGCGGCCGAGAGCGGCCCCGAGGCCTTCTCCGAAGTCCTGGAGCCCCACCCGGCGTCTGAGAAGTCTCGGAGTTCCACCCGCCTCCTGAGAAGTTCACGGGGCCTCCCCCGAAGGTACAGCAAACCTCTCACGAGGCGCGAGGGCTCTCGAGAAGTCCCGCCGCCTTCCGAGAAGGCTTGCCTGCTCCTCTTCGCTGTCCCCCCCCCCCTCTCGCTCGCCGCCGAGAGGAGGAATGTGAGTGCAGAGTGGGAGTTTGGATGCAACTCCTGGCAGGTCAAATTCTAACTTCTCACCCTGGTCCGAAATCCGGTCGAATCCGGCTTTATCCCGTCTGAACCGGCTCACCCCAGGTTCATCCGGTGACATTTCGCCTAATCCGCGTGCGAATCAGACGCCGCAGCACCCCCCCAATTGGGTTTCATCCTCCCTAGTCCTTCAGATGAAGACTTCCAATACTTGCCTCCTAACCCTCTCTCGCCGCCGAGAGGAGGAATGGGAGCGAGGGGATCGACTACAGAAGGGATTTCCCCCAAACTTGCCTTGTTCCGCCGAAGCTACGAACAAATGCGCAGGATGCCCCGAGATCTGCTGAGCATTCTGGGTACTTTTCGCGGACCCGACGGAAAAAAAACATTGCGGGGTAGATCAGTTCTGAAGTTGACACCCTAGTCAAAGGGCGGGAGGCGGAGATGAAATTCCCTGCCCCCGCTCCGCCGAGCCGCAGGCCCCGGGGGAAGAGCGGCGCAGCGGTCCGATATGGCGCCCGCGGCGAAGAAGGCCGCCGCGAAGGCGAAGGCCGCTCCGCTCTGTGGGGGGGGGGCACTGCTTGGCCTCCTCGCCGCGAGACGGCGGCGAGCCGACTCGCGAGATGGCATGTGGCAGGGAGGGGGGGATGAAGGGAGGAGGGGCAGGAAGGAGGGGAGGAGAAGGGGAGGGATGAAGGGAGGAGGAGGAGGAGGAGGAGGAGGAGGAGGAGGAGGAGGAGGAGGAGGAGGAGGAGGAGGAGGAGGAGGAGGAGGGGGAGCAGGGGAGGGAGGAGAAAGAGGAGGGGGAGCAGGGGAGGGGCAGCAGGGGAGGGATAATGAAGGGCAGGATAGGCAGGTGGCATGCTGCCTCCATCGCCGCGGCAGAGTGCCAGGAAGAGAGGGGCTCGTCTGCCCGCGCTCCCCCTGGGGGAAGTGAAAAAGAGGAGGGCTGCTCAGAAGTCGAGCAGTGGCGAAGCGTCCGGGCTTGCCTACAGGCCCACCAAATATTGTTTTTGTGTTTGCTGTGGCTTGCGCGAACTGTTCTTAGAGCATTTCTGGCCGAGATGGCGCTATTTTAGCACATCGGTCTTATGTTATCAGGACATTGCCTCTGTTGTTTAGAACTGTACTGGGTTCTCAGACCATTTCGCGGTAGGCCTACAGGAATGCCGGGACGGTCGGTCCTTGCTCAGAGCAGGCGGCGGGGTTTCTCAGAAGCCTTCCGGCCTTCTGAACGATTTTTTGTGCCTTGGGGAATGATCAGGAAATTGCTCAGAAGGCCGGGGGTCTGCCGAGCCTTCTGAGAAGGCCCGCCTGGTCTCAGTCCTCCCCCTCAGAATCGCCACCGAATGAAGGAATCCAAAATCTTCGGCACATGGCTCCCCAATCAGTGCTTGCACTGCAGGGGTCCTAGCGGAAATTGACAGATTTGGGGAAGTTTCCTGTTGATTTTGGTTGCCGGCTGGGTCCCAGGGGTTCCCGGTTTTGGGTTCCTGGGTTCTTGATCATTGGTTCCAGTCCGATTTCGGTGGGTTCCGGGGTTCCCGGGTTCCCGGTCGATCGCCTTATCGATCTCTTTATCGATCCCACGATTCATTATTGATCTCACGATCGATCTCACCATTCATCTCACTCAATCGATCTCACCATCGATCTCATCAAGCCATCCACCGATTGGGGCTTGTCTTTGGTTTCTGCGAAATGTTCTTAGAACATTCCTGGTCGAGACTAGTTTATTTTAGCACATCGAGCTTATGTTCTAAGAACCTTGGTTTGATTTTTAGAACATTACTGGGTTCTAAGAAGATGTCGTGGTAGGCCTTTAGGAATGCCAGGACGGTCGGTCCCTGCTCAAAGCGAGTCCCGGACCTGTGTCTTTGGGGGCCCCGCGAGGCCCAAGACAAGCCAAGCCAAGTCAAGTCCAGTCGAGGAGCCCGCGGAGGCCCCTCGCTCCGCAAGCGGAGACGGAGGGCGTAAAGGGGACGGTACAAACGTCTACTAACATTGTATCATACGGCAGGCGTGTGACCCATACAAGACAATGGGCGTCGCCGGCAGTCCTCAGTCAGGTGTCGTTCGCTGCCCGCCTCTGCGCGCCACTCTGGACGTGCAGTCCCGCCAGCTGCGCCACCGCGCAGCCTCGGGTCGCGCCAGTGCGGGGGGTGGGTCTCTGCGCAGGCTCGCACACCCTCCAGGCCTTCTAGATTGGGGTCGGGGCAGATGGGGTCGGAGGATCGCGCCGCATCGCCGATGCATCGCCGATGCGGCTCGATTTGGAGCCCGATTTGCTTCACGTCGACGTTGCCGATGCATCACCGACGTCGATGATGCGTCGCCGGTGCATCTCCGATGCATCGCCGATGCATCGTCGATACGGCGCGACCCTCCGACCCCATCTACTCCAACCCCATCTAGGAGGCCTCTACACCCCTTGCTTCGGTTTCAAGTCATGGGAGCCTTGTGTACCCTCGTCATTCCGTCTTTAGAGTGCGCTAGCGTCGATCAGCGTCTGGTAATCGATGATTTAGCGCCAGTTTAGCGTCGATAAGGGCCGATTCGCGTCGGATTAGCGTCGAGTAGCGTCGATTCCGCAATAGCCAACATGCTTTCGCGGCTTCAGTTGAAAGGGGGGCTGCGCCAGCCGCGGACGTCTTTGGGGGGTGGAGGTCGGGGATCGGCCTCTCGGCCAGAGGCTGGGCTGCATTGCATGCGCGCGATGGCCTCATTGAGCCAGACTGTGCAGCATCGTACAGGAGTGTGTCACGAAATACCCCCGTAGGCTCTGAGTGAGGGTTTCGGCAGTAACGATTTGGACGTGCAGGTGCGGAGGGCTCATGTCGAGAATCGACGTGCCAGCCCATCCGTTATCGCATGGTTCCCCGTTCCCCAGGCCTTCGCGGGGCCTTCAGCTGAGCAGAGCGTGGAGGGACTGTTTTGACACATTGGTTTGCATTGCGAGCCAGACTTGACAGCACGATGAATGCAGTCGATCATTGAAAGAGCAGGAAGCTTGCAAGTAGCAGACATCGACGATGCTCATTGGCTCGAGTCGCCGTTTGGCTCTGCCAGGCTCTCTTTCCCGCATGCTCCGTCCCGCCCGAGGGGCAGAGACAGCTTTGCAGAGACATGCAAGAGTAACATTTATTACACCAGAGGAAACCCAAACCAGTGGATGGTGATCGATACAGAGATCGATAAGGAGATCGACCGGGAACCCAGGAACGCGGAACCCACCGAAATCGGACCGGAACCAATGATCAGGACCCCGGGAAACCAGAACCGGGAACCCGGGAACCCAATCGGCAACCAAAATCGGCAGGAGATTCCCCCAAATCTTTCAATTTCCGCTAGGACCCCTGCAGTGCAAGCACGGATTGGGGAAATACCCCGCGCGGACCTTCAAACCACCAGAGGTGCCACGCTATAGTGCCCGCGCCTGGTCCCGGGAGGCCCCCGGCCCCCCGTCCGGCTGCAGGCTCGGCGCGTGCCCCGGTCCAGCCGCAGCGCGGTGCCGCCACGCGGCATGGGCTCGGGGCCATTTTGGGCGCATGCTGCGCGCCAGCGCCTGCCATGTGGGCGCCGCGTTCCACGCAGGCCTCGGAAGAAGTTAGCGTTGAGTCGGGCGTGTCCCTCCACAGGAGGAATATTTGAAACAGTCAGAAAACAATATGGGGACGATTTTTTGCATGTTTTTGACTATTTGGGGGTATTTTTGAGTATTCTAAATGTTTCGCCCAAAATCCGCCCCTGTAGGGGAACAGGCCCGACCTAAAATTAGCGGGCACTCATGCCGCATTCATCTGTCAATGCCCCCCCCAATGATCAAGGTTGGCGGTGGGTCGCATGAGCTGCATTTCGACCGCAGTCTTCCCCGCGCGTGCCAGCTTTGAGTTTGGGGGAGCGGGGGAGTGTCCACTAAAGCTGTTGCCTTTCACCGCGATGTGTCACGCAGCGTGCCCAAGACAGGCCTGGGCCATTGCCCCTTCCGTGCGCAGCAGTTCTGGGACAGTCTGCCAGGGCAGGGATGGCAGAAGCGAACGAGCACGACGGAGCGGCTCAGTAGCCCTTCTATGGGGGAGATGGGAGTTGGAGATGGAGGAGGAGGAGGAGGACGAGGAGGAGGAGGACGAGATGGAGGAGGAGAAGGAGGAGGAGGAGGAGGAGGAGGAGGAGGAGGAGGGAGGAGGTGGAGGAAGGAGGAGGAGGAGGAGGAGGATGGGGAGGAGGAGGAGGAGGAGGAGGGGGAGGAAGGAGGAGGATGAGGAGGAGGAGGAGGAAGGAGGAGGAGGAGGAGGAGGAGGAGGAGGCGGAGGAGGGGTCGCCGAAGCCCTTCGGAGAACCCCTCCAAGCTGGGGTAATTACGGTATCCAGGCTCCCCCCGAGCCTCGGCTGGAGACGGAGGCCGAGGCTGCGAGGCCCCCGCCCGCCTGCGCCGGAGCAGCCAGACGGGAGCAAGCACGGCGAAGTTTTAGTATCGTTTGACCGACCCCCATCCCCATCGTCATCCCCTTCGAGACCCCCACCAAATTACCACCCCAGTTGGGGATACACCCCTCTAGGGGGCCACATGCGGACCCTACACCTACCGTCCACGATTTCTGACGGGGAGGGTGGGGTTCACTTCGCTCGGGAGCTCTTGAAAGGAGTGAACCCCAGCCTCCCCCTCAGAAATCGTGGGGGGGAGGGGTAGGGTTCGCATGTGGCCCCCTACCCTCGAAACCCGAAGGGAACTGCCTATATCCCCGTCAAGGGGGAGTACATCGGCCAGTGGGGCCCAGGCCACGCCGCTGGGGATGGGGGTCGGTTGAACGATGCTCACAGTTCCCCGCCCAGGGTCCTGGTGACGGGATCGGGCGGCGAAGTTCCAAAGTTCAGGATCGACCATCACCTCAACATCAAGTCGGGCCTGTCCCTCTCTACAGGATGAGTATTCAAAAATAGTCAAAAAATGGTACGGGGACGATTCTCTGATTAGTTTTGACAGTATTTTGTGTTGTTCTACTCTTTTTATTTATCCGCCTGTAGGGGAATATGCCCGACCTAACCTTACTAACCCAACTTGCCACCCCGAGTGTCACGAGTCGGACGGGGCTACACGATGGGTCTTCTGAGTCTTTCGATTTTGCCGCCGAACTTCCCGAGAGGCTCCACCACAACCCAAAGAGGACGGTAGGGGCCCCCATGAGCTGCCACCGAACGTTGCCAATGGGCTACCGCGCCGAGCAGGATACGCGTTAGAGATTTCAGCTGGGGTACTACCCTAAGGGCTTGACGACTCTTCGCAAATCGATGTGTGGGGATCAAGCCGGATAACTCGAGGTAAATGCAACTAAACAGATGTCCAGGCAAATCCAGGCGAAGCCAGAAACATTCAAGGATCAGTTGAGCAAGTCGTTCCCGCACCAGCGCGTGTCGAGGGACGGCAAAAGTCGTTGGGCCCTTGACGAGTGCTGCGCTCGTGCCCCCCTCCCTCCCCCGACTGGAAATCGGCGTCATCATCCCCTCCTGCTGCTTCTCATCCCTAGCATCATCCTCGTCGTTCGAAGAGGGGATCGACTACAGCATTGATTTACACTGGAATTGGTTTGGCCGTCGATTCTCCAAGAAATGCTTCGAATGCTCCGTAGATCCACGGAGCATTCTATACATGTCTGGTAGTTTCAACGGAAGCATGAATTCGGGGGTAAGTCAATGTTGTAGTCGATCCCTTCTTCGAATCTTCGAGCCCCGAGCGTGGCGCGCCCCATCCGGGCGAGCAAGGGATCGACAGCCTTGCGGCGTGACACCTTTTCACTGTATGCCAACATGGTCGCCCTTACTCTCGCAGCATGCACAGCTCGATCTCGTTTCCGCAATGCCGATGGTTGGTCAAATCCAGATTCTGCCTTTGCATCCTCCTCGTCCTCGTCCTGCTCCCCCTTACCTCGCTTGGGCACGCCTTCCAGCGCGCCGCGAGGCCGACGCCTCACAGACGTCGAAGCAGGGCTTCTCGAGCCTCTTCGGCCGCAAGCCAGGACCCGGCCCACGGTCTCCCGCGCTCCCGTCGCGGCGGCGGGGTTCGGCGGCCGATTGGAGAGCAGGGAGGCACGCCCCGTCGCTCATCCAGCTCCCACCCACCTCCTTCCCCTCCCAACCGTCTTCCTTTTGCTCCTCCTCTCTGCTCGCTCCCCCCCCGCCCCGAGGTCCCCACTCCTCCCTCACCTCCATCCGGCTCCCCACTTCCCCAAGCGACGTTTCCGTCCTCCGCATGCTTTTCCAGTATCCCGAGGCACCTTGTTGGGTGCCTGTGCTCGTGCGTTCGATGTAGCCTCTTAATACTTCCCGGACGCGTTTTGCGCGTGTCTACAGCATTCAATTCAGTTTGTTGGCAGTTTGGCGTCAGCTTCAACTTCTGTTGCATCATGATTCCGCATTGCTCGAGATCATCCATGTTCGATCATGTTGTCTTGCAGAGTTAATTGAACATGCTAGTTATCATGTGTTCGTGCTTGTAGGTGGTCTCCACATTGCATGGCAAGTTATATGTACTCCATCTGTCACCATAAAAGGGAGGTGGTCTGATTTTTCTTTGGGTGGGGGGGTATTGACAAACTGCAGTTTTTGTTCATGGTTGGTCCAGGGGGAATCCCTGTGTCCGTGCCTCTGCGGCCCGTCCTTTGCCGTTTTCACTAGTCTACCCCTGGGTTCGGATACCCTTAGTGTCCCTGGGCTTTTGATGGCCTGTCGTCTAAGAAATCCCAACTCGGACCTCCAAGGTTCTTGCGTCCTTGCCACCCGTCCGTAATACACGTTTTGAATGTTTCAAGTTCCCCGTTGTTTTAAGTCGGACCTGTCCCTCTACAGGGGGAATATCCAAAAATAGGAAAAGTTGTCTGGGGACGTTTTTTGTTTTTTGTTGAAACTATGTTTGCTAGTTTTTGTTTTACCCTTTTTGTTGTTTCATCGAACATCCGGCTGTAGGAGGGCATGCCCGACCTAACGAGCGACAACGGGGTGGTGCAATAGATTTGGTGCAATAGGTTTGTGGTGTTGTAACACATTTGGGGCATGCAATACATTCCGGGGCGCAAATGTATTGCTGGATTTTCGCGTGCAAGACATTATTTGCAATACAATGCAAATACAATTCTCCAGCGCAATACATTTGCAATACAATTGCCCCAAATCTATTGCACCACCCCCTTTCAGCTGGACCCCTTACAGACCAACCATTTCTGGGGGAGCACGGGTCTGGGGGAGCTGGGGGCGCCCTCCTAGATGATATTCGTCCTTTGTGTAATTTCAAGCAGTTGCACCTGAGATTTCGTACTGTTGTGATGTTGCAGGGTAGCAGCGACGGCCTTGGAATCAACCCTGAAGTTGGCGCGAAACCCCTCGCTGGACAGGGCCAGAAATCTCCAGGCTTACTGGTCACCCAAATTGTTGTGGCCCTGGGATCCCTCGGCAGGAGCCGCCGATGGAGCCCCCGCGGCGCCGCCGCCCGAGGCCGCCGCCGCGGCGCCGGCGATGGCGGCGCAGCCAGCGCCCCCGTGTGCGCCAGTGCCGCCGTCGGGCGCAGGCGGGACAGGGGGGAGGCGTCCCCTGACTTTCCAGAGAGTTTGAAGAAATAGCCCTCCAGACCTACGTTTAAGTCGGGCCTGTCCCTCTACAGGAGGAAAATTCAAAAATAGTTAAGATATAGTCTGGGGACGCTTTCATGTGCATTGTTTGGCAATTTTGGTGTATTTTTTGGACTATTTTTTTTTCTTCCAAAATCCCCCTGTAGGAGGACAGGCCCGACTTAAACCTACGTGTAGTCAAGCAGTGGCCAAGCGTCCAGGCTTGTTCTAAGAACCTTTCGTGGTCTACACGGAACGTTCTCAGAAGAGTCTACCACGTTTTAGTACATTGGGCTTATGTTCCAAGACCATGTTCATGCTCATAGAACTTTGTATGGGTCTAACAAGATGTCGTGGTAGGCCTCCAGGAATGTTGGGACGGTCGGTCCCTGCTCAAGAGAAGAGGGGGAGGCGTCCCCTGACCTTCCCGAGAACTTGAAAGAAATTCCCTTCCAGACCTCTAGACGAATGCTTAAAACCTCGACTGTGACTTAATTACAACGGTCCTGGAGTTATTTGTCAGCCACCCTGGAAGTGGGGGGTCGTCGTCGGCGTGGCTGGCGAGGCCTTGTGGGGTGGGGGCATAGTACTTGTTCCAGATCCAGGTCGATAGAGTTCTCCCAAGATTCGTCCAATCACGCCCGCCCGACAAAACAAGATATGTCAAGTCAGCAGCCTCGCGCTGAAAACCTCAATTTCGACGTATCCATAAGTCGACTCTGCGGTTTTGCGAGATCCTTGATTTATCGGCTCGCGTGATTGGGCGGATTTCCAGAATATTTGGACTTACTCGATGTATAGGCTCGCGTATTTGGGCGGATTGCTGGAGCAATATGAGATAGCGCGTGTCCACGATGCCGATGATGTTCTTGAATCATCATGGCAGCTTTGTTTTACAACATGATTTGTTTTGTTATATACATCTCGGCGTTGTTCTTACCATGTCTTATCCTAGAAGGACGGAGGAACTCCAGGACAGCTCCCGCAGAAAAAAAATCAACAGTGAAACAATGAACAGTGAAGCAGCAAAGCAAAGGACGGCCCCGCAGCATTGCCCTGCAGTGCGTTCCGTTTCGTCCGTGGCCAATTGTTGTTCTGCGTTGCATCCCGTTTAGGGTTTGATACGTTCTTGTGATCGTTTTCGTAATCATTGTTTTGCCGATCGGCGCGGGCCCTCGCCAACCCCCTCTTGTGCCCCTCCCCCCATGGAGTAGGTCTTGGCTGTTTTTGGCACCTGGTTCGAGCAGGTGGGGTTTCCCCCGTAGGACGCACTGTTCCAGAGAGTCGCACTAAGCAGAGGTCTGGAGCCATACCGCCCCCTCCCCCCCCTTCCGCCCAATGTCTAAACGCCGAATAAGAATCAGCCACGCGCAGATGGGGGTGGGGGGAGGGGGGTGGGCTTCTTAGAAGCACCCCTGCGTCTTAGAAGGCGCGGGCCTTACACATCTATAGATGTAAAGCCGGCGCCTTCTATGAAGCAGCCTCCTTCTCGGAAGCAGCCTCCCCCCTCCCTCCACCCCCTTGTGCGCGCCGCCACAAGAAAACGTTCACCTTGCCGCTTGCCGAAGCCAGCCGGGCGATGGCGGACGGCGCCCCCGCCGCCGATGCCGCGTCCTCGGCGTCGCGCGCGGGCGAGGGGGTGCCGTCGGGGGGCGAGGAGGCCCACCGAGCCCGCGGCGGCGGCCCCCGAGCCCGCGGGGTTGGTTCCCGGTTCGGCGTGGGGGCGGAGGCCCCCGACCCCGCGGCGGCGCTCTCGCGTGGCGGCAAGAGCCGGGGAGCCGTAAGACTCGAGTGCGCCGGGACTCGGTTTCGTCGACGTTTTTTTTGACGAGTGCGTCCGGAATTTTGACGGTCGAGTTTTCGTGGGATGTCTGCAGCGGGAGCTCGCGTCAAATTTCAGACTGGGCCTCGTCATTTTCATTGAAGGCCCCGTCAGACCAACCCGAGTCCGCCGAACCCGAGTCTTACGTCTCCCCCAGAGAAGCGCATGCGAAGCATCATGCGTACCCATCGGTCGTTGAAGGTAGGTATTTTTGCATTCCCAGCTCCCAATCGCCGCCTTCCTGCTTCAAGAGTCGAGCGGTTTTCCCTCTTCCCTCCTTTTCAGGAGGCGGGTGGGAATCCAGTCTACTTCCAACGCCTTCTACTTTATGGTTCTACCTACTTCTTCTTCCGACTGACGGGTACATACAGGCAGACCGGCGGCACCATGCCAGATTCTACCCAGGGCGCGTTCCATGTGATGCAAGTTGATGACGGCCCTTCCTGCGCACACACGACGCATTCGGTTCGGTTGAAGGTCGCGTCCGCCATCGAGGATTCCGCGATGAAGTTGCGGTGCGATTCGTGGCCATCGGTCTGCGTGCGTGCTCAGTTCCAGTACGTTTCGTGGTCACCAGTGCTCGTGAGTGCTCAGCTGCAGTACGATTCACGTTTCACGGTCATCAGTGCTCGTCTGCAGTACAATTGCAGTGCGCTTCATGGTCAACAGTGCTTCGCTCAGCTTCAGAACCGTTGCAGTGCGTCTCTGGGCCACCAGTGCTCAGCTGCAGCACAGGTTCTACTGCATTGCATCTCAGCTACAGAGCTCGGCCAGGCGGCCAGGCTCTGCGCAGCGCATTTTTCGCCGCGAGTCGGCGAGTCGGGGTTTGAAATTTGCATGTTGTGGGTGCCAAATGCCAGCCGTTCCTCCCTATCTCCTATCTCCCCTCCCTTTCATATTATATCCCTCTTTCATTTGTTTGTTTGTTGTTGTGTGTTCTTTCTCTCTCTCTCTCTCTCTCTCTCTCTCTCTTCTCTCTCTCTCTCTCTTTCTCTCTCTCTCTCTCTCTCTCGTCGTCTAGCTCTCTCTTTCTCTCTGTCGTTCGCTGTCCCCTTGGTGCATGCTTGGGCTGCGCCTGGCTGCAGTGCATAACTCACTCGTGGGGGTTCACGCTGGCAACCAGCTCCCTTTTCGAGAACAGGCGGGCGCTGCCAATGTCGAGCATGGCGCAACTGCATCTTTGTGTCTTTGCGCCCTCGCACAGTAAGCCTGCACCCGCACTGCATTATTGTTGCATCATTGCGAACCTTCAGGTGCAACCTTCAGGTGCAATCTTCCCAACGCGAGCTTGCAACCATGCCGCCCGTGCAACGGGCCGACGTGCCGTCGGGCATCTTATTTGCTTCTGGGGAGTTCGTCGGGTGTGGAGCCGCTCCTGGCTCAGGACCTTCGCGGGGCGGCGATTTTGGGATTAGAGAGATCATCGCACCCGCGTCGGCTCGTCGGATACTCCTGCAGGGGGCACTGCCAGGGTCCAAGGGGATGTCCAGATCCAGCCCATCCAGAAACGCTGCCCAGATGGTGCGTGTGTGTGTGTACGTGTGTACATGTGTGCGTGCGTAAGCGTGCGTAAGCGTGCGTAAGCGTGCGTGCGTGCGTGCGTGCGTGCGTGCGTGCGTGCGTGCGTGCGTGCGTGTGTGTGTGTGTGTGTGTGTGTGTGTGTGTGTGTGCGTGCGTGTGTGTGCGTGCGTGCGTGCGTGCGTGCGTGCGTGCGTGCGTGCGTGTGCGTGCGTGCGTGCGTGCGTGCGTGCGTGCGTGCGTGCGTGTGCGTGTGCGTGTGCGTGTGCGTGCGCGTGAGCGTGAGCGTGAGCGTGAGCGTGTGCGTGTGCGTGTGCGTGTGCGTGTGCATGCGTGCGCGCGTGTGTGTGTGTGTGTGCGTGTGCGTTTGCGTGTGCGTGTGTGTGTGTGCGCGTGTGTGCGCGCGTGTGTGTGTGTGTGCGTGTGTGCGCGTGTGTGTGTGTGTGTGTTTACTTGTTGATGGTAATTGTTTTTGGTTGTGTGTTGTCAGTTGTTGTTGGTGTTGTGTGTGTGAGTTGGTGGTTTCGTGTTTTGGCGGTTGGTTGTGGTCGCATGCGCGTTGCTTGTCGGTGATCGTATGCGCGCGTGTCGATATTAGTTTCTGGTCGCGGTTGGTCGGTCCGTTTGTGAGTGCGTTGGTGGTATGTCAAAAATAAAAAATTGTGCGCAGCCATGGACCGTAACTGGTAGCTCGTACTCATCCGAAACCATAGGCCGTTATTGGTAATCGTCATGGGGCCAGAACCACAGATTGGTATTTGTATTTCGTGTGGGGCGCTGGAGATCAACTTCGGCGTTTTGAGGGGTTCTGTGGTCTTGGCGGCATTGGGGCGTTGGGGGCTTCTTGGGGCCTGTTGGGCGCCCGTTGCGCCCATTGGGGGCGTCTTGGAAGCTTCTCGGGGGGCCCTCGGGGACCTCCTGGGCCCGCGTGGTCCCCGGGCCTCGCAGGGGCTCTGCCTCTTGGGGGGCCCATGGTGGGTTTTCGCGCGGGCGTTTTGGGCGCGCGCCGCAACCCCCCCCACCCCTCTTCAAAGTTTGCGCCACGTCGCTTACACCACGTAGATAGATACACATAGTCATGTAGCTGCCGCCGCAAAAAACATCATCTGCAATTCGTATATTGCACCGCGTAGATCGGGCCATTTTTGTGTCCGTCAAGAGGGCAGGTGGGTGTTCCCTGGATCTTGGCGTTGCTTCATTGATGGGCGCATGGTGGGTCGTGAAAATCCGGCTAGCTTTTTGCCCGTGGCCCAAGCGGCGCCGGCCGAAAGCATACCGGCTTTGCCGCAAGGATGGGGTGTTCGGTTGAGCTCGCTTCTGCCAGTGTTCGCGTGGTCACCGCTGGGACGGAAGGACCGCGACCTTTTTGTCCGTTGCCGCAATGGCCCGCGGAAGTGGTCAATAACGGCTCGAAGAAGGCAGGGTCTTTTGAAGTGTCTATTCCTGGCACGCCGGCGGGCCCGCGGGTCGTCGCGACCTTGCCGACGACGCCGAAGGCGGCTGCCGCGCTGCCGCAGTCGCAGGCTCTCCTCCGCGACAAGGGCGACAGGAACAAGGGCGTCGACGTCGACTCCGAAAAAGCCGCCGTCGACGCCAGAATCGCGACGGCGCAGTCGCGTGCGGTGGATTTGGCGGAGCAGGTGCAACAACGCCCCCCTAAATTTCAGGGCGTGCCTCTAATTGTCGGCATCACTGCGCGCGGACCTCAGCCGACGGGGACGGCGAGGGCAGCCAGCTTGCAACCCGCGACCCCCTAGCACTCGCCGCCGAGCCAACCGCCAGAGACGCAGCCGCCAGAGACGCCGCCCCCGATGCAGCCGCCGCCAGGGCCGCCGCCAGGAAGGCAGCAGCCAGAGACGTTGTTCCCAATATAGATGCACCAGAGGCACCAGCAGGGCGGCATGGGCATGGGCATGGGGCGCGGCCCCTGCGTTGGTTCTGCCATGCGCCACGCCCACCAGATGCACCGGCAAGGCGGCATGCACCAGTAAGGCGGCATGGGCATGGGCATCATGGCCGACGGCATTGGCGGCATGGGCAGCATGGGCGGCATGAGCATGGGAAATATGGGTTGCATGGGTGGCATTGTCCACGCATTCCCCATTCGCATAGCAGCATGGGCGGCATGAGCATGGGAAACACGAGCAGCGGCGGCGGCATGCTGGGCCGCATGAGCGGCATGACCGGCATGGACAGGCATGACATGGGCAACGTGCGCGGGAGCGGCGTCATCGGTTTCGTTATCTTCGGCATTCTCCACAGTGAGCTAGTCGACGGCTGGTGATTTCGAACGGCTGGCGTTCTCCATGATGAGCTGATCGACGGCTAGTGTTCGACGAAGTTTCCACGACTGGTGTTCGACAAAGTTCGCTCGGCCACGTCGTCCTGCTTTTCCTCGGTCCTCCTCCTCCTCCTCTTCCCCCACCCTTGACGAAAGTTGATGGGAGGCCGCGTGCGCCTCTTTGATGATTCCGTTGGTGCGAGGCTGCGCGCGCGGCACCAAGGGCGCGACGCCCGAACGGCTCCCAGATGGCCCAAAATGCTTTTGTGCATCAAGGGGAACTGAAACCGCAGAAATAGCAAATAGCAGCGTTGGTTTGAGATGGCCCACTAGGGGCGCGAGGGGTGCTCAAGCAAGGGCGGTCAAAAAGGGGCCCCGACTAGCCGCCCGGAGCTATATTGGTTTGAGCCCATCATGGGTGGCAAGGGTGGCGACGATCGTCGCGCTCGCAGCCGCAGCCGGGCAGGACGCCAGCACCATACCATAATGACTGGGCAGCAGAAGTAGAATTGGGCCGCGGTGGGCTCGATTCCATCTGGTGGCACAGCAGCGACTGTGGGATCAGCGGCGCTGGCAGCGGGGTAGCACCTGGCGCTGGCAGCAGGCCGACAGCTGGCATCACCATCATGCCAGCGGCAGCCGGAACCACATCAGCTGGTGAGATAGCACGATTGCCAGCAGCATCAGTGGCGCAGCAGGACAACGGGAACCAGCAGCACGACAACGACCGCCAGCTGTTGCGCTACATGCCATCATCACGAGTTCGGCCAGCAGCAGCGCGCGCCCATCAGTAGCATCGGCAGCACGACCAACAGCGACGATGGCCAGCAGCCGCAACGCCTCTAGCACCGCGTCATCGTGAAGGAGGATTCTATGTCAACACTTCCACCAGGCATCCGTCAGAGGAAGCAGAGCAACGAGTTGACGACGCACCGGGACCCAAAGAACATGGCACGCATGGTGAAACAGGCGCTCATTCACATGTCCACTCACGTCGTGCCGGACATCGGCATCGCCCACTTCGTGCCGCTGGGCCTTACGCTGAGGATGGTGGAAGACGGCAATAGGCTTCGGGGTTACACAATCGACGACGGTTTCATCAGGAATTGACAGCGCGTTCGCACCATGGTCGATAGGCCCGCAAATGAGGACGTATACCAGTGGAGAAAAAAACAATTATGTTCATAACTTGGGCGGGCTCGCCCGCTTCTGTGTTCTGTTCTCGGTCTCGCTTATATGCGCGGTGGGTGCCCTCCCCCCCGCGTCCCCTAAGGTAAGACGTGGTAGGGAAAAACGCAGATGTGTTGGTCATTGGGTAATCATTTAGTGCGGAAGAGCCGAGTTGTCAATCATAGAATTTCGTTTCGTTTCAGGAACGTGGACAGCACGGGCAAGAGCTATCCCGAGGTATTCGGGCAACCCGCCCAAACACGCGATCCGATGCATTATGTCCCTTTGGCAATCCGCCCAAACACGCGAAACGAAAATTCCAGCAAGTCCATTTTTCCGGTAATCCGCCCGCGCACGCGAGCTAGTTTTTTTCATATAGCGCCAGCAGCCTCATTTGATTTTTCCTGTCTTGTTTGGCGGGCGTGTTTGGACGCATGTTGTGATGACGCAATCGACATGGCTTTGCCCCCCTGTCGGCACCCCCGCGCGGGGTCGAGAGGGCGGCGAGGACGAGGAAGGCCGACGCATCCCGCGTCCCGAGGAGATCCAGGCGGCGGGCGGGTTCGTCTTTGTCTGTGGCCTTGAAGGGGGAGGGCCCGCTTCCTCGGGGCCGCCGCAGACATCGGCGCGCGAGGTGAAGACGTCGGCGCCCGCGCCCTCGCGGTCTGCAAGCTGGAGCGCGATCCGCTGGATGCGCAGACGCACGGATGCGCCCCGCGCGGGGCATCCGCGGAAGCACGCCCCGTGTCCACGGGGTTGCGGCCCCGGGGCCTGGCTCGCGGGGCCTCGGATACGGGTGTATGTTTTTCGCCCGCGGCGTCGGTGTATGTTTTTCGCCCGCGCCGCCTTGACATTTTCGCGTCGTGGGCGGCGCTCGCGACGGAAGGGCTCCGGCAAATTGCGGTCTCTGCCCCCCGTCGACTGCCGGAGCAATGGGCGATGGGCCGCTGCCCGCGAAGGGGTCCACACCTCCAGGGAAGCACGCTGCGCGCGCAAAAAGCGCGACGGCTGATGTCTCTCAGAGCGTGAGTTACCTACCCAACTTTCGCTTCCACGCAAAACCAAGTCATACCATTCGCCTCCTCGTCAAACGGCCTAACCAGTGCAGGCCGTAGTTTGGCGTCGCTTGGTACCTCTTGGAAGCGAGGGTGGTCAAAAGTGAGGTATGTCTGTTTGCCCCCTAGTCTCGGAGGGGACCCGCGCATCGAGCGAGCTGGAGAAGCGGATCTATGGGGAGGCGGATCTGGGTGGAGAGGCAGTCGCGGCACATCGTGGCCCGGAAATCTTCCAAGGAGGATCCCCCGTTCAATGGGGGCTTCGGCGCGCTAGGTTCGTGTTTCGTCAATATCATCGTCGTCGCCGCCGTCAGCGCCGCCGCCACGGCACGCGCCCCCCTGGGCGCCGGCGGGGTCGTCGTCGTCGTCGTCTCTGCACGAACGAAACGGTCACAGAAAGAATGGTTACAATGCCCAACAGCAATTCTTGTTCATTTTGAACAGGACTCGCTGTCCGCGCAGCCGCGGCCTTGCTGTCAATTTGAAACAAAATGCCGCCTGTCCAACAGCGGCCGCTGTCGGTTTGGGATTGTTGGGCATTGTACCAATTTCTGTCCGTGCCCATTTTGGGCGTCGTCGTCGTCGTCGTCGTCGTCGTCGTCGTCGTTACGCCGCACGGAAGCTTCGCGAGCTCGGTCCCCCCACGGCGGGTCTGGCGCTCGCCCTAGTCGAGGCCTTGCACACATGCGACGTGGGGGCGGCCGTCAAGAAGACTTTCGCCGAGTTCCAGCAGCAGGTGCACGGGGCGGACGACGCCGAGCCAGGGATCTCCTTCTCCGACCTCGAACGCGACATCGCAGTGATTTGTTGGGAAGAGTGCTAGAAGCCGACAGAGACCAAGCTGATCGTCGGGATGAGGAGCTGCAACCTTCGGGCCGCGATCTCGCAGGCCTTCCGCAACGAGGGCAAGATGGGGCCATCTGCAGTGGCCCAGCCCCCGCGGGATGGCGGGAGGAGGAACTGAGCTTTGGTCGACGCGCTGTCCCGCTGAACGCCGCGTCTTCGAGCCAGCCCGTGCGGCTCTCGTTCGTGCCAGCTCGTCGCCTGCCGAGGATATAGCCGTCTCGCGCACGCTCCCCGTGCCGGCCGCCTGTGGCCGCCGCCCCGTCTAGCGGGCCAGCTGACGTTGGCGACCGCGACGCTGACGATGAAGCAGCACACTTTTTAGGGCTTGAGTGATGGTGGGGCCACCAGGTCCCCGCCTTTGCGTAGCGCCCCGCTTGCTTGCAGCACCGCTGTACACGCCGCGCCTCTGGCGAGATACAGGCCCCCGCCTAGCGACAGGTTCAGCACTGCACGAGGGGAAGACATTCTCACAAATATTTGGTTTAACCAAGTCTTGACTCGTGCAGTCCCCAGGAGGCCCGCGAGGGGCGCGAAGGCCGGGCTCCTATCGAGACGGTTTTTGCCGCGAAGGCCGCTCCCTATCGAGACGAGTTTTGCTTCACGGTTGAGCGTTTGTGCGTGTGGAGCGGGGAGGCCAAACCATGTTAATCAAGATTTTCACCAATGCCAGATTCAGAGCCTCAAAGTCGTTGAATCATCTAGTCGTCGTTGTCGTCGTCGTCATCATCGTCGTCATTATCGATTCCACCAAATTTCGGAGGTCCGAATCTATCGGGCCTGAGGTTCTCTGTCAGCTTCTTGGGCCCGTTTTCGGGCTCCGCGGCCGTCAGGCAACAGCTCGGGAAGAGAGGCCTGGATGATATCGTTGGTTCGTGTCGCCAGGCCCCCGAACGAGTGGCGGGCTCAATCCCAGCGCTCTCTTCTCCCAGTTCTGGCCTCCAGGATGGCCGTGCCTGTGCATGGGTATGGAACTGCCCACAGGGAGTGGGCCCGATCTCGGAGGTCCGCGGACATAAAAATACAGGTTACCATATGTCTGGGGCACTGGGTGAGTTGCTACATGCTCTGAGCGCGGCGCCCTCCCTGGCCCTCCCCGGCCGCTTCATTCCTTTCCCTCTCGGCTTGCTCCGCAAGTAGCCCTGCCGCACCACGGCAGTTGTTGTTGATCAGCTCTTGGTGTCCCTTTGGCATCGCTCGGACGTGTGCTGTCTTTTTCTCGGCGAGGACCCTCGAGGAGCATCCTGGATCATCGAGCAAGAATCGCACATACGAAACCGAACAGTGCACGGGGAATGGACGTCCGAGCGATGGCAAGGTCCCACGTCGCCGCTGACAAAGATGTCTGGGGTCCAGGGTCAAGCGCGTCGGTGCTAGTCCATGGTGGACACCGCACGCTCTGGTCTTAGAAGAGTTTCGCCAATTGCACGGGCGGCTGGAGCACCCTGGATGGTGGCTGCCCCTCGGTCGGAGCAGATGGGGTCAGCGGCGATGCGGGGGGGGGGTGAGCCTCACTTGGGGGTCCAACTTCGGGACCTCTTGGGCAGGTCCTGGGGCCCTCTTGGGTCGTCTTGGACGCTCTCGCGACGTATACCGCGAGCTCAGAAGAACCCCAGCCTTCTGAGAAATGTTCGAAGAAGACAGGGACGGCTCCTCAGAAGACAGGGGCGGCTCCTCAGAAGACCAGGGGACTTATGAGAAGCCCCGCCGCCTTCTGAGAAGGCCTGCCCCCTCTAACCTCCTCATAGGCTCGCCGCCGAGATATGGCAAGAATGGTTGAATCACGCCAAAACGCATTGATTCGGCTGATTTTGCCCACACGGGCAAAATCAGCCGCTGCGTCGGCTCGTCCTGCCGACTCCAGCCAGGCCCCGCGGCCGCCGCGGCGGCGGGGGCAGCCGCGGCGGCGGCTGGCGTCCCCGCGCCTGCAGCCACCGCAGGCGGTGGGGCTGCGCTCCAGCGGCTGCAGAAGTTTCGGTCACGCGTGCAGTGGAGGCCAGTCCACAAGAAACTTTCCACAAGAAGCCCAACACTGAGACTCCAGGACGTCCATGGATTTTTCGTGTGGGAACGCCACGTTTTCCATAATAGAGCAAAACCATCGAAACCCAAGAAACCCAGGGCACCCTGGGAGACAAGCAGGAAGTTTATTGGCATGGGTCTCCACTGTACGCGTGACCTTTCGCCGGAGTGAC